CTCTCTCCATCTCTTTCCAGTCAAATGATAAAATAGTAACAAATGGAATTCAATAAATATATTTTTTAAAAATAAAAAGAGACAAAATTAATCTAAACAAACATAAGAATTGAGAACTTAATATGAGCCAAGTACTCAATGGGCAGTAGAGACATAACCCTGGGGAACAGCACCCTATCAAAGGACAGTGGAAAATGTGGACAGGACTCCCCTGCCCAGAGAGAGGGCATAGGGAAAACTAAAGGAAACCCGGCGGTGAGGAGGTGCCTAGCGATATGTGAGAATTCTAAGTGCGTTACCTCTGCTTTTAGTTATAAGAAAACATCCGGCATATTATGGTTTGGATAATGCTCTGACTCGCAAAGATTTATGTTTTGGAATTTAGTTTATTTAATTAATTTATTTATTTTTTAATTTGCTATATAGGGCACACACACTCACCAGAGAAAGAGAGAAAATGAGAAAGCAAGCCACCAGGTCCGGGACTTGAACCATCGTTGGTCATGTGGGAGTCTAGCACCTGAACTACCACACCACCCGCTGGCCCTGGAATTTGGTCTTAATGGAGGGTGACTGTTACGTTCATAGGTTGGGACTTACTTGTATTGTAAAGGTATTGAATGAAAACTTAATTCCTTCATGGTGTCCTACAGTGGGTATGAAGAAGTCACCATGATTATATTCTGGTGTATCGATAAGGAGAGGGCTTCAGGTAGCAGAGGCCACGCAGATACAGACCAGAACAAATATTAGGATGTCTGGAAAACTAGGATGTCATTTTCTGTCTTGCTATCCAAAAATGTGTCATGACTTCCCTAACAACCTAATAGAAACTGTGAATGGCAGCTCTACTCAAGACCTATCTCCACCATGTAGTAGCCTCACCAGAAGTTGGCCCCTAACTCCTGAACCTCTAAACCACAAACATTTGTTTCTTTATAAATTCATCTGGTCTTGGGTATTTCTGTTAGCAATCCGATAATGGATTAAGATGCAAGTCTACCTCAAGTAAGTCTCTAGAGAATTACTGGGAGCCAGAAATCCAAGGAGAATCCTAACATAACTGGGCCTCGTGGGTAGGAACTCATTCTAAGAAGGTTCCCAGACAGGTGGGATTTCATGAATCTTTCCATTGGGATCTTTGCATCTACTGATTTGCCTTTTTTTTTTTTTGGGGGGGATGTTGTTGTTGTTTTTTTTGGGGGGGGGGGGGGGGGTGGGGGGGACAAAGCAGAGATTATTAACAGAGGAAGAGAAGAGCTCCCAAGCAGGAAGGGGTCCCAAAAATGGGCTGCCCTGCATCTTCTGATTTGCTTTCAATAGCAACTAAGAGAAAACTGAATTCAAAGTGGTTTCAACAATAGGGAAATTTATTCTCCCAGAAATGGAAATCCAGACATGGGGTGGGTTTCAGGATCACAGGTCCAGCTTGTCAGTCACATCACCCATGAGCAGATTATTTCCTCATCTCCCTTCGGCCATCCAGAAGGTCAGCTTCAATTTGTGTGTGTGTGTGTGTGTGGATATTTTGCTATAGGGTGTATGTCCTCACTGGAGAGACAGAGACAGAGAGAGAGAGAAAGCAAGAAATCGCCCCCTGGGGGGGGATGGCCATGCCACAATCCCTTCTCTTCCATTCTCCTCTCAGGATTTTGGGCCCACACGCATAGGCACCCAGCATGAGTTTTAAGCCACTGGGTCCACGACTCAAATCGCAGTCGACCATGTGAGAGTCCAGTGACGTAACCATTATGCCATCTGCTGGCCCCTCTAAATGTAATTCTTTTTGAGGATGGTTATAGGCTGTAGATAGTGGAAAGAGAGGCTACACATTTCCTCACTGACATTCTCAAGAGAAATGTTCCCCAGAAATTTTTACCACACTGTATCACTGACCTGAATTAAGACACATGGCATTCCTAAACTAACCCTCTAAGCTGACTGGTTTTGACCTGTAATCTTATCCTAGTCACCAGCAAGGACATTTGGTTAAGACAGCTCAGGGCGCATCCTGAGAGTGAAGTCAGGTAGGTGTGGAGCGGGCACAGTGGAGAGCAGAAAAAGGGACCTCCACGGTAATTCCCCAGTTGTGAGCTCAGATAGATGGTAGATAGTAAAGTCTATGGGCAATCACAGAGGCAACAGTTAGAGGCAAGGGTCTGAGTCAGTGTTGTTTGGGACACGCCAGGTTTTTTTGTTTGTTTGTTTCTATGAGAGATTTTTGCTATAGGGTGCGTACACAGAGAGACATAGAAACAGAGAGACAGAAAGCAAAAAATCATCCCCCAGGAGGGATGGCCACACTGCAATCCCTTCTCCTCCAATCTCCTCTCAAGATTTTGGGCATGCATACACACACACACACACACACACACACACACACACACACACACACACACCCAGCCTGAGTTTCAAGCCATTGGGTCCGGGACTCAAACTATGGTCAACTACATGGGAGTCCAGCGACGTAACCATCACGCCACCTGCTGGCCCCTGGACATGTCCGTTTTGAAATGCTTGTTAGATATCCAAATGAAGATATCACTTAAGTTATGAGAAACTTGAATCTGGAGTTCAAGGAAGGGGTCATAACCTTGCGAATCATTAGCATATAACCGGAATTTTAAACTATAGAAATAGATGGAATCAACTAAAGAAAGAAAACAAATAAAAAGAAGAAGACCTAAGGTTGAGTACGAGGGCACTCCAACATCTAAAGGTAGAGGAGAATTCTGCAGAGGGGACAAAGAAAAGGCAACAGTTAGTAAGGCAGAAAGAAAACCAGAAATATGTACTGTCCTTGACACCAAGGGAATCACGTGTTTCTTGACAGAGAGAAATCAGCTGTATCCAACAATGGGAGGCTGAATGTGAAAGCGTCAAGAGGGGACCACTGAACTGGCACCATGAAATCACAAGTGACCAGACAGCTGCAGTTTCGCTGGTGCGTGGAGACACAACCCTCTCTGGAGCGGGCTGAGGGAAAATGGGATTCAGAGAAACAAAAACAATTCTGACAATTTTTTGAGAAGTTCTACTATGAGGGTAGCAGAGAAATGAGCAGTAACCAAAAGAGGTCAAAGCAGGATATTTTTGGGGGGAGTGGGGAGGGTTTATTTCTGCTATAGGGCGCATGCACTCACCAGTAAGAAAGAGAGAGATAGAGAGACAGAAAGTGAGAAGTCACCCCCTGGGGGGATAGCCATACCACAATCCCTTCTCCTCCATTCTCCTCTCGAGATCTTGGGCACACACGCACAAGCACCCGTTTTGAGTTTAAGCTGCCATGTCCGGGACTCGAACCACAGTCAACTACATGGGAGTCCAGCAACATAACCATTATGCCATCTGCTGGTCCCAAAGCAGGACTTTTTTTTTAAAGACATCAGATCCTAGAGCATGTCTATGCTAACAGCCTCCCTCCCTTTAGTCTCTGTTCCCTCTAAGCCATCTTTCAGACTGCTCAAAGTTACCCTTGTGAAATTCCTGTGCTTCTCATTACGTAAAACCCTAGCACTGGGCACAAGGCTTCTCTTCGCGATATACCCTCGGGCCACCTGTGCAGTCGTATTTCCCCACCCTCCCCTTACGGTTTGGCCACATGAGATTATTTGCCAGTCCACAACCTTGAGAGTTCTTTTCAAGCTTCTACACCTTCGCACATGCTGGGCCTCTCCTTGAAATCTCCTCTACCCTAGACCATACAACAATCTTATTTATCCTACCCCATTGTCCCTTCTTCAGTATACCCTTCTTTCTCCACCTCCCCTCATCTCCCTCCTCTGTCCCCAGACAGACACAATTAGAGCTATTACCACATCATACTATAACGTCTTTGTCTTCTCCTGCCCTCATCCTTAGTAACTTGGCAGCGTGTCTACCTGACTCATAGTAGGTACTCAAATCCTGTGTTGAATGCTGAAGGAAAATCCATTTAGCTGTTCAACACTGAAAATGAAATTAGAAATTAGCTGAACTGTTGAGACCAGCAGACGGTGCAATAGTTATGCCACTGGACTTTCACGTAGTTGACCACAGTTCAAGTCCCAGACCTGGCGGCTTCAAACTCATGCCAAGTGCACGTGCATGTGTGCCCAAGATCTGGAAAGGAGAACGGAGAAGGGACTGCGGCATGGCCATCCGCCTGGAATGGGGAGGGAAGGAGGAGTGACTTCTCACTTTCTGTTTCTCTGTCTTTCTGGTGAGCGCACATGCCCTATTAGCAAAAAGTTCTCAAAAAAAAAGAAAGAAAGAAATTAGCTGAACTGTTTTGGGTGGAGCTCAGCACCTCATACCACATCTCTTAGGTTCTGAAAGAAAGTCAATCTAGATAGGAGAGGAACACGGGATCCAGCCATTTGCATCCATGGCTCCTTTCACAGCCTGCTCTGGAAGCCAACATTCTGAAGCTTCCTTCGAAGTCAGACATTACTAAGCAGGCTGACGACACGGCTGGTGTGTGCATTATGCACATGAAACATCGACAGCCTGACAAGGCCTCTGGAGGAGACTAGTTAAGAACGTGACAGGAAGCAGTGGGGGCCGCGTGACGGGAAGCGGTGGGGGCGGGCAGGTGTCTGTGGGAGAGCTGCCATGGCTCGGCCATCCAGGACCCCCCAGCCGGATCTCTGTAGGACAGCTGCAGCCTGCCAGCTCCCCTTACCAAATCACAGTACGTGCCCCGCAGCGTTTGTCACCGCTGTGGCCGACAAGGGCTGCTCGCTCTTCCACCTGCGTGACACAGATGGCACAGATGGGAGCATGCTTCCACATGAGAACACGCAATTAGTTCGTCCAGCTGTAACAATTACCAGGAGGAAACCCTAGGGGAGGAGACAGGTAACTGTCCTCCATGCTGGCACTCACCTCTTGCTTCTCCCAGGAACAGCTGCTGCCTCCGTGGAAAAAAACTTGCACAGTCCTTTTCCGGGAACCCACGTACTTGACAAGCGTTGGTGTAATAGCAACATAAGGCAGTCATCAAACAGGATATATTTAAGTAAGAAAATAACAAGGCTTTATTTTTTTTTTTCTTACAAAGATAGCCCTGCTTGTTGGCGAAGTAGAAAGGATGTTCATGGTTCTCACGAGTAAATGAGATCCGCCTGCTTCAGGCTGTATACCATAATGCTAAAGAAGTGACACGGAGGGGGTAACGGTGTAATGCTCTGATCTTCACAGCAATGAAAGACAACATAAAACCAAAGTTGAGTGGACTTACCTAGTGCTGGGCATTCTCACAAGGAAAAGACAAGGGGGCTTTAAATGAATCAGCAGCAGTACTGAACACAATAAAAAAATTCATTTGGTGGAGCCTCCTGCTCCTCTCTCTGGCTCTCTCCTAACGGAGGGCTTCCAGTCTAGACTCAGCAAAGCTGCTGGGCAGGAGCTTTGGCGTTAGAGTCCATGAGACAAGAAGGGACAAAGTTCTGAAAGACGAGCTAACCGGGCTTTGGTGAGGCACCTACGTGCAGCAGTGTTGCATGTGGAAGTTGACAACATACTCGGCATTAGTCCTCTGTACAGAAATAGCAAAAGGCTCGAAAGGGTGAAAGGTGAAGGCCACAAGGCGTCGCACTGTGTGGTTGATGGGGCGGCCCAGTAAGCCTGCCTGGATCTCAAACTTCAGTAGGCCAGAGTCCCGGGCATAGAACCTAAACGGAACAAGGAGAGAGGAAGAGGACAGTATTAATATTCACCACCACACTGAAATCTGGACAGCAGAGGAATGTGGCAACGCCTTCTTTTACCTTATTAGTGGATCTCCACTTACACGGGCCTCTGCTTATCAGAATTTAAAAATGACCTTGGTCTGACCTGCTCATTTTAGGGGCAGAGTGATTATGAATTTTACTATCTTGTCTTGAGTTATTAGTTATTTTTCTTTCTCAAGATGATCCTTAGTTATGGGCTTAATTACAGCTTCCTCTCTTCTAGAAGCTCCTTCCTCAGGATGGTCTAGGCTAGAGCTAGAAATAAAAGGCAAGCCACATGTGCAATTTTAAATCTTCAGGTAGTCATGTTAAAAAAAAATAAAGGGGGTGGCACCAGACAGCAGTAAAACACAAGGTCTGCAAGGCTGAACCCCATGGGAAGGTTCAGGTTCATTTTCTGGAGACCTTTTAAGTACACTGGGCATACACATGCCCACGATCTGAGGCTGGCTGGAGTTGGCAGGATCACGGTATCAAGACCCTGTTAGCAGGACCAGCAGATGGCATAGCAGTTACATCGCTGGACTCCACATAGTCGACTGAAGTTCAAGTCCCAGACCTGGCGGCTTAAAACTCATGCCAGGGGCATATGCGTGCATGCCCGAGATCCCAAGAGGAGAATGTAAGAGAAGGGATTTCAGCTTGGCCATACCCCCTGGGGGGTGATTTCTCACTTTCTGTCTCTCCATCTCTCTGCCAAGTGCATATGCCCTATAGCAAAGGCCTTCTCAAAAACAAAAAACAAACAAAAAAGCCCTGTTGGAGAGGCTATCTCACTCTCTTGCTCATGGAAGAAATAAACAGACTTTTTTTTAAAAAAAAAAAAGAAAATAATTAAAAGGTAAAATTAATTTCAATATTATATTTTAATCAAATATATCCAAAATATCATTTCAATCTGTAATCAATGTATGAAACAGTTCACTTTTTTTTGCACTAAATTCTTAAAATCTGGTGTGTATCTGACATTCGAGAACAGCTCAATTTGGACCTTCTACATTTTTTTAAGTAATTATTTTATTTAATCTTATGTATTATTAGTCTCTATATTATTTTAATTTGACCACAAAGACAGAGAGAGAGAGAGAAAGTGAGAAAGCAAGCCGCCAGGTCCAGGACTTGAATACAGTTAACCATGTGGGAGTCCAGTGACCTAACCACCACGCCACCCCAGCCCCAGATCCTTTTAAATACTCAACAGCTAAATGTAGCTGTTGGCTAACAAAGAGGACTCAACAGATCAGGCCTAGCTTTGAGGTTATTTTTTTCTTTGTTAGAGAGATTTTTGTTATAGGACACATGCACTCACTGAAGAGAGAGCCAGAGAGACAGAAAGTGAGAAATCAACCCCCAGCAGGGTTTGCCACACCACAATCCCTTCTCCATTCTCCTCTTGGGATTTAGGGCATGTGCACACATACCCAGCATGAGTTTTAAGCCACCAGTTAGATATAATTCAAGTCTGGGCTAGTCCATGGCCTAGCTGAACCCCACATGGCCAACGTGGTTCAAGTACTCGATCCAGCTGCCTGAAAAGCATTCCAGGCACATGTGAATCCATGCCCAAAATCCAAAGGAGGGAGAAATGGAAAAGGGACTGCAGCATGACCATGCCTAGCTGAGAGTCCTTTCCCACTTTTCCCCTCCCTTTGTCTCTCTGCCTCTTTCCAGCGAGTACATATGCCCTCTATAAAACAAAATCTGGACCACAAAAACCATTCTGGAATGGCATCAGATTATTTAATGGAAAAGTACGGTTTCCTTCCCTGGATACCTTTAAGGAACAGCACTTCCTGAACTAGGTGTCTTGATGAGAGGCAGAGGGCAGAAGTAGTTCATTTACAAGAACAGCACCTGGATGATCTGAGCACTCCCCAAATTACAGAAACAGCCTGTCCTTTTCCATCTAACTCACGAGGACAAGTGGAGACATGATGAGATGACGAACAAGAAAGCAGACGGCTTCAGCTCTCGGATTCGTAACGACGGCAGAGACACGGTACCTGATGGGGTGGTCTCCACAAGTCTTGGGCCGCTCCATGACGGACACCCACTTGTCATCGTAGCTAAAGAGAGACAAATCCAGGTAGGGGCTACCGCTGTAAGACTGGGCGCTGATGGGAAGCTGACCCAGCAGCCGGCGTACCGCCTCCGTGTGCCCTCCATACTTGGCATTTATAATAGTGTCTTTGAACCTAAAACAAACAACCAGTGAGGACAACTATGTTAATGGGTACATAGCTGTCCTGGATGCTAAACTGACTAACACAGGTCTAAAAACTCATTCCAGAAACAGAAATGAGAACATAGGTACTGGCCCCTGACCCCAAGGAACAATTCATTTCATAACAGTATATTGATAGTTGTTAGAAGCTCTGGTTCAGGGGGCCGGATAGTGCTGTAATAGTAAAACACAATGCTCTTCAAGGCTGACCCTTATGGGAAGGGTCTGACTCCCTGAGTATGCTGGAGACTTACATGCCCACGGTCCAAGGACGTACGAGGCTGGGGTGGATCATGGCATCAAGATGCTGCTGGGAGTACTGTCTCTCCCCTCCTCTGCCTCTCTCACTCACAGAAGAAATAAAAAAAGTTTTGTTTTGTTTTTAAAGCAGCAGCTCTGGGACCAGCAGTTGGCATAATGGCTATGTTGCTGGACTCCCATGTAGTCAACCATGGTTCGAGTCCTGGAACCAGTGGCTTGGACTCAAGCTGGGCGTGTGTGCGTGTGTGTGTGTGCCCAAGATCCCGAGAAGAGAGTGGAGGAGAAGGGATTGTGGTGTGGCCACCACCCCCCACCCCCCGGGGGATGATTTCTCGCTTTCTGTCTCTCTGTCTCTCTCTGTCCTTCTGGCAAGCGCACACGCCCTATAGCAAAAACCTCTCCAAAAAAAAAAGGCAGCAGCTCTTGATCACTGGACGATCTTACTGATGGGTGGGTATCAACTTAGATTGACCTGGGTGTTTTGTGAACAGACTCCAAGTGCCAATATCAGAGCTTTTTTGTTTTTTAATTTTTGCAATAGAGTATGTATGCTCACTGGAGAGACAGAGACAGTAAAAGGGAAAGTGAGAAATCACCCCCCAGGGGGATGGCCATGTCGCAATCCCTTCTTCTCCATTCTCCTCTCAGAATTTTGGACGTGCATGCACACATACCCAGCATGATTTTCAAGTCGTCAGGTCCAAGACTCGAACTGCAATAGGCCATGTGGGAGTCCAGCACCATAACCACTAGGCCACCTGCTGGTCCCAGTGGAATGTCTCTTCTTCAGTTTGGTTAGTTTCCCTAAGGAAAAATCTTTAAACTCTTGCTTGGGGAGTTTAAACCTAATGCCATATCTAGGAAAGTGGATAAGAGTCTTACCTTTCAGTATGTCCAATTTCACTTAATTTCTGTTTTTAGCATGTCATGTCTCACCCCTACTCTCAGCTACAATTCATGAACCTGAGACCAGAGTCTGCTGATTCAATTTGTCCAGAGAATAATCTCCCAGCCTTCTGCAGAGGTGGAGGAATAGTTACGTGGGTGTGTAAGCCTGGGGAAGAAATCTAGAGGGTCTGACTGCTTCTTTTAAGAACCTCGCCAGTGGGGGCCAGCAGGTGGCATAGTGATTAAGGCACTGGACTCCCACATGATAGACCATAGCTCAAGTCCCAGACCCAGCGGCTTGCAAGTCACACCAGGTGCAAGTGCATGTGTGCCCAAAATCCCGAGGGAGAATGGAGGAAAAGGGATTGTGGTATGGCCATCCCCCTTGAGGGGGCATTTCTCACTTTCTGTCTTTCTGTCTCTATCTCCCTTTGGTGAGTGCATGAGCCCTATAGTAAAATTCTCTCAAAAAAAAAGAAACTCACCTATCCTCAGCCCATCTTCAGAGAATCTAGGCCTCCAACTTCCTGACCCTTTCCAGAGTTATCTGGTGTAAAGCAGGTTTGTTTCTTGATGACTAAGTTTGGAAGCCTTCAGTCTTCGCTCTCTGGCGTATGCTAAATCAGTTGCCATCCATTCACTGCTTTTCACCTTCCATACTTGGTTGGTATCTCCTGTTTCCAATCTTCTCTTCTCCCATTATTTGTTCTTATAGGTTTTTTTTTTATTTTCTTTTTTCTTTTTTTTAATTTTTTATCATCATATCTTCTTCATATTACATTGGATTACATATAACTTTACAGTGTATTACATTGTTTCTTCAAAAGGGAATGCCATGCACGTCAGTCAGTACAGAGACATTAATCTCCCCACTTCAACATTCCATATCTTTTCTGTTTTCCCCAATCATTATCTTTATTATTCTAATTATTTTTATAAAACAGTCAGTTGCTATTTCTCGTTTTGCTTGTAAAAATACTTTGCCCGTCATGAAACACTTCTCAGACCAATCCAGTTGAGAATTCTATACATGTCATCATCAACAGTTAATAAGCCCTATCTGTTTCTCACTGACGTCCTGTCTCTCTATTGCTCACTTGCTATCTTTCTCTATCCTCTTCTCTTCACTTACCCCATTCCACACTGTCCTATTCTCATTAAGTACCTTCACTTCAAGAATGGTAGAGTAGTTCCTGTTCTTCCCTGAGGCAATGCAGGGCTGGTAACCATCATCTTCTCAAGTTGCAAGTTCTCAGACCTTGTTTTCCGCTTCAGCCTGCTGATCCACAGGCCACACGCCGGCCCTGGAGAGGCAGCTGAACGCCGGGGCATGAGCCC